TACACTTATTGTCTCAGACAAAGATAGAACACCCAAACACTGCAGTGCTTTTGCATACTATAGATGTCAATGGTTACAGGTATCCAGTTATATTCATGTCTTTTTTGTGTTAAAAAAAACAAACAGGTTTGGAACTAGTGAATGATGCTAGAATTTTAAGCTTTAGGCAAACTCTTTAAAGTCTTTTGAATATATCAACACATTGCAATGTTTTTCAGTGAATATTAAATAAGAGCTGCAGTTTATTTGGTATTTTATAGATATTATTTCATATGTTTCAAAAATAATCTCAAAGTAAAGTTCTGATATCTGACTTTTTACATGAAGTAATTAGTTATGTAATCAGATTACAAACTTCCAGTAGTAGTTAGTAATTTGTAATCTATTACTTTTTTAAAGTAACTTACCCAACACTTTTTAGTAAGTATTAAATCTATAATGAGCTGTGTCAAACATGACAACAACTCCACAATAAATGACATTTTAATGGAACCCTCTGGACACTCAAGTTAACAGGAAAGGCTTTGATAAACACTGAAGTATGCTTATTTTCTCTGCCATCAGTCAAATTCTGTGTGACCATCAGTGTGAAAAGACTAGCATTGGGCATTATGTCAGCGGAGGGATAACTCATGCAATCAACTCCTCCGACAGCTTGTCTTTCTCAAGATCTCTGCACTGATTTCCTGCTCGTCTGCAGCTGAAGAGCTTCAGGTTGCCCAGACATCCATCATAGATCCGGACGTCTGAGAGATCTGACCCTTTCATGGGAGTGGGCAGTGGGACCGAATATATCATGTCATTTTATGTAACAGTCACCGAGTACGTTTACAGTACATACACACCAATACTTCAATTTTAATTCGATTAAGAGAATACTTTGATTAAGAGTCCGCCATGTAAACAGCAATGCAGTACAGAGATGTAAACACCGCAATCAAACTACTAACGTTGTGTTTTTGCTATATTTTGCGACACACATCAGTTGTCAGACATTTGACAAACAAATGAGAATGGCTTCAAGTACGAGAGCACATTTTTGGTGCGAGCGGGACATGATGACTATGCTGAGAATTCTGAAAAAAATGGACATTAGCCCCTTTCACACAGTGATACCGGTAAATATCCGGAAAATTTCCAGAACTACTTTACCGGTATATTCAAAAAAACGCTGTTCACACAGGCAAGGACGTTACGGAATTTTTCCGGAAAAGAGCATTCACACATCCATCGCAAAATGCCGGTAAATTCTGACATCATTAACTAGAAATGACCTCTAAACGGCTGCGCTTGTGTTTGTAAACATTTGACTACATTACAAACTCGTCGGATGGATCAGTATTGAGTACAACTCTAATGAAAACATAGGGAAACACTTTCGCATGTCGAGATGTTCATGATATGCGTGTGTGCTGGCGCTATGGGCGCTTACGGGCACACGCAAAGCTTGAAGGTAAACAAACAACGGATTATCATAAACATTTTATCGATAATTATTTACACAGCATTAAGAAGGAACATAGAAACATTATCTGACTAACATCTAGCAGCTAAAGGCGTCTGGAAAAAATATTCAAAGGCTTTTATTCTCATAAACCGCGCGCACGTGAATGCGTCTGACTGTTCTGATTGGCTAAAGCAGGTGTCTCACGTCAGCCCGTTCTAGACGTGGACGCGCTTACTACGGCAATCTTCCTTCTGCATTCACACAGCGCAGCATTCCGGCAAATTACCGGTAATGTTACAACTTCTCTTTCCGGAAAATAGCCAGAACGAATTTACCGGTATTTTCAAAAAGGGCCTGTTCACACATACAACCTTTCCGGAAAATTGCCGGTAATTTTCCGGAAAGGTCTGTATGTGTGAAAGGGGCTATTATGAAGAACCTCCGAGTTTGTCGGAGGGGCATGAATGAAAACTTAGTCACTGAAGTGTCGAATTGTGACGTAATGGCATTAATCGAACTACTGTACGTACTATAACATGTAAAACGAGATCATGAAAGGAACATTCACCAAGCAATTAATATAAACACTTCAATCATGATATTATTCAGATAAAAGAAAATAATTAGATTACTGATGTCCATGTAAACGTAGTCACTGTCTATTTTAAAAACGGTACAGCTTGTGCTAATACACCGATAACAAAGTAATTCAAAAATAAAATACTTCAGAATTGTATTTTCTCACACTTTTAAATTAAAAGAAAACCCTGTGGGCCATGATTATTTGCAAATATTGTACATCTAATGTGGTAAATTAGTACAATCACATGTAGATCTACTTTGAAAAATGATCAAATCAAAATGCATGAGCCTGAGCCTGATCTCACGAGGAAAAATAACATTTTACGTTTTGTCAGTTTAGTGGCTAATTCATACGAAGTTCTGTCGTACAAAAATGTACAATTTTAAAAAGGAGGCGTGGCACCCAACTCCGCCCCTAAATCTAACCGTCATTGGGGGATGAGCAAATCGTACTTAATTGTACAAAATAGATCTGTCAAATTTATATAAATTAGCTACTATCAAAATTATGAATTGCCGTGAGATTGCGTTGACAAAAACCTGTTTTTTTATTATAAAAACCTAAGTATGTATAAATATATCAGAAGCGAAAAAAGTATTGAATTGTAGTGTTTTTTACCCACACAAGCTAAACAGAAAAAGAAAAAGCTAATAAGAAACTGACAGTGGAGACCTGTTTGTTTCTTTTTTAGTTAGTTAGTTAGTCAGTCAGTCAGTTAGTTAGTTTGTTTGTTTTTTCATCTTTTACAATTGAAGTAAGAATTATTAGCCCCCTGTTTATTTTTCCTCCAATGTCTGTTTAACAGAGAGAAGATTTTTTCAACACGTTTTAAACATAACAATTTTAATAACTCATTTCTAATAACTGATTTATTTTATCTTTGCCATTCATTCATTTATTCATTTTCTTGTCGGCTTAGTCCCTTTATTAATCCGGGGTTGCCACAGCGGAATGAACCGCCAACCTATTCAGCAAGTTTTTACGCAGCGGATGCCCTTCCAGCCGCAACCCATCTCTGGGAAACATTCACACACACACTTATACACTAAGGACAATTTTTAGCCTACCCAATTCACCTGTACCGCATGTCTTTGGACTATGGGGGAAACCGAAGCACCCGGAGGAAACCCACGCGGAGGCAGGGAGAACATGCAAACTCCACACAGAAACGCAAACAGAGCTGAGGTTTGAACCAGTGACCCAGCGACAATTCTTGCTGTGAGGCGACAGCACTACCTACAGCACCACTGCCTCGCCTATCTTTGCCATGATGACTGTAAATAATATTTGGCTAGATATTTCTCAAGACACATCTATACTGCTAAGTGACATTTAAAGGCTTACTTAGGTTAATTAGGTTAATAAGGCAGGTTAGAGTAATTAGGCAAGTTATTGTATAACGAAAGTTTGTTCTGTAGACTATCGAAAAAAATATAGCTTAAAGGGGCTAATAATTTTGTCCTTAAAATGGCTTTTTTAAAAATTAAAAGCTGCTTTTATTCTAACCGAAATAAATCAAATAAGATATTTCCAGAAGAAAAAAAATATTATCAGACATACTGTGAAAATTTCCTTGCTCTGTTAAACATCATTTGAGAAATATATATAAAAAAATTAAAAATGTAATTCAAAAAGGGGGGTTAATAATTCTGTATATAATTTAAATGTATATCATGGCTATAATGCTGCCTTGTTAGAACTTGCTCAGTTTTTTGCTCAGCAAATTTGACACACAACTACAAAAAAATAAATAAACAAAAGGATTTGGTAAAACTTTGGCTTAATAGCAAGAGTATCCTAAAATGATGTGACCAAAGATTTAAATAACACTGTAAAAACCAATTACTTTAAAAAGTGAATAAACCCATTGCCTTAAAAGTGACAAGCTGATTTTATATAAAGAATTATGAAACTTTTTTACTTTAAAGTATTTGCTTTGCAACTTAGAACTATTAAGTTCACATAACCTAATTTTTTATAATTATGCACTTTTCATTTTCTGGTGCATATTTATTTATTTTAAATGTATACAGTGAAGGCTTTAAGCTTAAAAGCCACTCAGATTTTCACAACTGTAGAAAATCTCAAATGATTTTCTACAGTTATGGACTATATAGTCGAACACAACATATTCTAAAAATAAAGCTTCTAAAAGGGGTGTTTACACAATTGTGACACAAAAGAATCACATTTGGTTCACCTTAGGAACATTTTAGAAAACAGCTTATCTTTAAGAGTAGTTAGTGTGCCTACAAACCCTTTTCTACCATTGAAAAATACCTTTAGGGCGACACGGTGGCTCAGTAAGCACTGTTGCTGGTTCGAGTACAGGAAGGGTCAGTTGGCATTTCTGTTTGGAGTTTGCATGTTCTCCCCATGTTGGCGTGGGTTTCCTCTGGGTACTCTGGTTTCCGCCACAGTCCAAAGACATGCGGTGTAGGTGAATTGACTAAACTAAATTGGCTGTATTGTATGAGTGTGAATGTGAGAGTGTATGAGTGTTTCCCAGTACTGGGTTGCAGCTGAAAGGGCATCCGCTGTGTAAACAATATGCTGGATAGGTTGGTGGTTTATTCCGCTGTGGCAACCCCTGATGGGACGCCGAAGGAAAGTTAATGAATAAATGAATGAAATACCTTTAGTGTTACAGAAAGGGAATGTTAACGTTTCTTCAGGGAACTGGAAAATACAATGAGTGCCAACAAAACAAGCAGCATTCACACAGAAAATCAGAGAATCGCGGCAGCAGAAAATGGCTTCGGCAACCAAGTAATCCCTCTGAACTGTTTATTCTTGCAATATCTTGAGGAAGCGAGCACACAGGTGACGGCCGACCGCTGCCGGCTCTGGATTCAGATACGCAGCTTACAGCAGTTAATAAGACATGCGCTGGAGAGATCTGACCTGCTTGGCTGAAGAAAAGCCTCGGGAGTTCATGCGGAAATGTGTTTTTGTTTGTGCGTCACTGACCTCTTTAGGTTGAGAAGAGCCCATGGGACGCCGGTCGGGGTCTTGAAAGCCGGCAACAGCTTCTCTCCTAGTTCAACAGCTTTTTTCCTGAACACCTGAAGAGGTAAAAAAACAAACAGAGGTTAGTCAAAGCTCATCCGTACACAGCAGAAGCGCAGCCACGTAACCTCTGGCTGCCCCAAAACCCGCCATATTTATTTTATCAGTCACATTTGCATGATTCACAGAGTCAACTGACAGAAAGAGAGGCATTGATATTCTGCTGGGAGAGACGGCTGATAACAGCAGATAAGACGAGGGCAAGCGGCCCTGCTGTAAACCCGCTGGCTGCCTGTCATCTTCTGTCTGCTACCTGGCCCTTTCCTCTACTCCGCTGACATTTCAAAGCATCAGGGAGCCGCTATGAATCCCTCAACCAGCAAATATGCTGCATATCCATCCAATGCGGAGATCTTATCACGATGAGACCAAGCGGACAACTCTGGCTTGCGCTGTCTTATCCAGAAATGCTAGTGTTTGATAAGTAAATATGCTATATTTAGCCAATTTCATTTTGTGTATGCTACAACTGCAAAGTCTGGTTTAAGGATGATTAATTTCCTACATACACCAAGACAAAAACTCCAAATAAGAAAAACATTTCTTCCTTTTTTTTTCTTTGCAGTGATGTTTTTTTTTTTTTTTTTTTTTTTTTTGCAGAGCAGTTATAATTATATCTACCATGGTAAATTGTAAAATATTAATTTTTAACAAATATCATCCAATCTAGCAAAAATCTAAGCATTTGTCTGATAGAAAAATCACTTTTTTATGATTAGCGATGGGCAGAAATTAATCGCCATTAATTGCATTCAATATAAAAGTTTGTTTTGACATAATATTTGTGTGTATCATGTATATGTATTATGTATATATAAAAATACACATGAATGCATATATTTAAAATGTTTATTTCTAATATAATAATATAACATTATGAATAATATTTTTATTTATATTATTATTTTGAAAATATTCTTGCCATTTCCTTACGCTTTGTGCCATAACTATCTGTTAAAAGCCCCTAAGTGTCCATGTTATTTTCAATAAACGTTTTACGATATCTTTGGGCATTAGACCAAGGCCGCATTTACACTACACTTTTCAAGTGCCAGCAAATTCCGATGTTTTTCTCTCATGGGGCACAGATCGGATATGGCCCATGTACGTGTAAGCAGGAACAAATCACATGGATTCCAATTTACTCAAATCAGATTCAGGCCTTGTTCATTTGTTAAAATTTATCTGATATGAATTGGATCTGTGTTGTCGTGTCTGCAGTGTAGGCAGGTAGATCGGATTTTCATCTGTCAATGCAATGCAGTCGCGCGTCATTAAAAACCATAGCGAATGACGTCAAGTCTGACACTTTCATTTCAGAACTGAAGACTTCAGCAGAGTCCCAAACCCCAAATCTCATACCAGAGGACTTAAACAGCTTTTAAATTGTCATATAGCACAGATATTTAAGCATGTTAATGAGAGAATGTCAGAATATACAAAAAAAAGATTAAATGATAACAAAGAAGAAAACGCTATCAGTATCAGTATCAGTATCAGTAATGTAATCATTGAAATATGTAATCAGCAATATTCAATTACGAATGCGTAACTGGTCAAAAGAATATTAGGTTTGCCATTAAAACAAACAAAGCTCCACTTCAGTTTCTCAGACCAAAACATTCACTTTAAATGACTCCTAATATTAAACAGGCTATTTTTTCTGTGTGCACTTTTTAAGGTTTTTATGTTAAAACATTTTTAAATAATATGTCCCATTTAGGAAAATATATGTTAAACATATAATGTGCACATAATTAGCTCTTCTTCATTTTCATTGAAAAAAAATCTGTGTTACATAGCCAGATTTACTGGTCAGATTTTTCTTTTTAATTCATCCTGTAAGTCCAAATAGCACATTTCCTGTGAACACAGCCAGATCGCTGCGAGAGAACCTTTCAAAACACCAGAGAGCCGGCACGCAGACAGAAATCAAACAGCAATTCAATGGCCTGTCAAAATTTATAGGAGAGTAAAAGCGCTGCACTATTGTGCATCATAAAACTGGTACTAAATAATGGGCAATCATAGATGGGACTGATTATTTGAACTGTTGATGTGTTAAAGCAAGTTAGAGAGCCCGCACTGACTGCACAATACTTTGGTGTTCTTTGACACACTACGGTATATTCTTTACAAGACTATGCCTTTTTTCACTAGTTGAGTTGAATAGCAAGATTTGGAAATGGGAAAGTGATTCTAGTTTAAATGTTGTGATTTTTCATAATTATTTGGTTATATAAAAATATGTTCTGTATAATATCAATGAAAGTCATGTGCACTGCATTGGTACTGTCATATGACCAATCGTCTTGGTTCAAAAACAGATTAATCCAGAAATGAACTGGAGCAATGTTGGTTTGAGATGCACAAATGGTGTGCTTTGGCCGTGTTTAGACCTATTTTTTGTTGGCGACAGAAAAATAGTTGGCAATACAGTGTCTAAAGACTTAGTAGCTAGGTTTCCATCAACTTACAAAAAAAAAAAAAAAAAAAAAAAAAAATATATATATATATATATATATATATATATTTCTGTAAAATTGTTGCAAATAGATTATATGGTTGAATTTAAACCAACAAATTAAATCTAGTTTAGTATAAATAAATTGTTTACAACCACTTATCTTAAAAAAGATTTAGTAAATGCAAGGAATCTTTACATAATTTCCATTATATTTTAATGCTCATTTTGTAAAAAAAAAAAAAAAAAAAAAAAAAAAAAAAAAATAAATAAATAAAGAAAAAAAAGAAAATCATCGAAAAAAGCACCAAGCCATCATTTTTAAAAATGTAAATTAAAATTGATTGTGTGGATAAACTATAATGGAAACCCATTGACCAAATAAATTTCAGCATGTGCATTAAGTCACTTCATGTCATGTCATAACAAAAATGGGTGCATTGAAGGACAAACCAGCAGACTAACCACATAGTAAAAAATCTGAAATGTTGTTTTAGTCATTCTAAAATCCCTCAGCCAAAGTCTGTCATCAAAGTGGTTCAGAATGATCACCTCTAGAACTGCTTGCATGTGCTCACAAAGAACAGTCTCACGCTTTTAAAAGCCACCACACATTTATTGCATTTCATCTTCTGAGGCACAAGTCATTTATTATACAAGTAAAAAAAACAGACAACAGAGATTTCTCCTGCAGCAGAAAGTAAAATTTTTCTTTGATATATGGAGGAAGTTTATAAGGAAATGACAATTTTGTTCTTTTTTTGACTAGAAAATTTTTAAAAAGTCAAAAATTTATAAATTCCTGTTTTTTTTATGCAGTATTATAGTTTTGAGCACAGCTACAACTTTCATCTTGAAATTGAAACTATGGCTGGGCAAAAAAAAAAAAATAAATAAAAATTGATCATTTGTTTTTTTTACTATGATTTAATATCGATTGTCAAAAGTCGTAAATTGTTAAAATATCAATCATCATACAGCCACATATAACATGATTTACGCTGAACTTTTTCCAGAGCGTGTAAATGTGAAACTATGTTCATGATTTGTAGCCACGACCACCACAAAAACATTTGACGCAACAAATGAATCATAACTGTCAAATTATTGCGTCTAATGAGTAATTTGCTTAAATAATAAAATAAAGGTGTGACTCAAGTTGTTTAATGTCAAGCCCTAGTTGTCTGTCAAACATTAAATTTCCATTTGTAAAATGATGTCCACCCTATTTAGTTTTGAAAATGTTAATGGCTGTTTAAATGAATCTGATGATCTTTATTTATTGACTCAAGAATCAAATTGAAAGCTTGTGAATTAAAATCTAATTGGGGCATCTAAATCGATACCTAGCTATAATGAAAACATACAGTGGGGAAAATAAGTATTGAACGTGCATGTTTTTTTCCTGAGAATACTATTCCTAAAGGAGCTGTTGACATGGAATTGAACCAGATTTTGGTATACCAAACAATACAAACATAAAAATAAAACAAAACAAAACTGAAAAATTTGTTAAGTGAAAAAACAATGACACAAGGCTTTTTTGGTGACGGCAGCTTAAAGACGCCTTTCAGACTTCAACAGAGTGTAAAAATCTTGATGGTTCTGTGAGTCTTGTCTTCAATCTGATCTTTAATTTGTATTTTCTATTGGATTTAAGTCAAGAGATTGGCTGGGCCATTCCACAGTTTGATTTTTTTTTTTTCTCCGAAAGCATTTGAGTTTCCTTGGCTGTGTTTTAGATCATTGTCTTGCTGAAATGTCCACCCTGGTTTCATCTTCATTATCCTGGTAATGTAGATGTTGGACTGAAGCAAGTAATATTAATTTACTATGACGAAGTTCAGAGAGTTGCTAAATAACTACTGAGAGATTTCAGCTGCTGTCTGGGCTTCCACTGCCATTCTACACCTGAATTTCTTCATGTGTTCAATATTTTCCCTGTGTAATTTCATTTTTTATGCATAACTTAATTTGTAAACTAATTAGATTTGCTTTCTTTGCATATAGGGATTCTATTGGTTAGTACCAACATCCATGGAAAATTTCCTGTCAACGGCACCTTTAGAAATATGTTTTCTGAGAAAAATAAAGAAGTGTTCAATACTTATTCTTCACTGTGGCTAATGTTAACTTTTTTTGATGAACTGCCATTGAAAATCCCACACTGATACAATCACTATAATATCTGAACGTATCTAATGTTATATCTAATAATCATGTCTGAACATACTAGTACTTCTCATCATAAACCCCACTGTTGAGCTACAAAACAGCTTCATTCGACATGATAGATGCAAAAAGCTAAACAGTTGTTATTTTTCTATTATCACTATTCCTTAATGTTTAGGAAGATCCCATTGAAATGAACAGAAATCTCTTCTTCTTCGAGGGAGCCCTGGCTTTGGTTTGGAATATTTTTTTTTTCTGCTGCCAAAGAAAATAGTGCATCTAAAAATCTCACTCAATATTAACTTGAACTGTGGTAAAAAAATCAATATCAAACCAGCGAACGTGCTCACACACTAATAC